AGCGCCAGCAGCTGCGACGTGCTGAACGGGGTCCGAGGCTTCCGGATGGTTTTGTGTTTTCTCAGAGGACACGCGGGAGGACTGAGACGCCCTGGAGACAACAACAACACACTGACCTTTACACGCATCTCTCACACTACTTTACAGCTCTGCAGATCTATCACTGTCACACCAAACCTCATAATGCCAATATAATGAGATGTAGGCAATATGGCATTAAACGTACCTCACCTAAACTTGGATCAAACTGATGCAAATAAGTTCATAACAGTAGCAACCATAATCGTAGTAAAATATGTGGCATAGGCCTATGCTGATTTTAATCACCATAAACATGCACGTAAATGTCTTTTGTCTTTGGATGTAATCACATTATTGGTGCACTTAAACGTGGTCAGTGATTCTTAACAGTCTTGAATGCCTTCCAGAACTTTTAAATATGTCTTAGATCATGTTGAGGAAATGTCATTGATCATGGTGACCTCAATCAAGCCAAACAAGCCACAAAAAACATGGTTTTCCTAAATAATAAAAACATGCTACACTAACCATAGTTTAACTAAGGTATTTGTAGTAAAACTGTAGCTGTACAAATGGTAAACAACCCCCCCAAAACAAAAACAAAACCATGGTTACTGCACTTCTACTATAATAAAACTATGGTTAATTTTCGTAAGGTGTGCACATGGTTGCAGATATGAATCTGAGCTCGTATGTACTCGTTGAAAGCATGCATCAGTTTATTCTACTTTGGCCACAGTACACATGACTGTAACTCACGGGGAGAGAGCTGATGGAGCCACGTGCTCTCCTGCAGTTTCAGAAGGTCAACAGAAAACGCCAAACGAGCACCGGTCCGGTCCGGGCTGAGAGCGCTGTTCGGTCTCCGGTCTGCCATCAGTGCCTCGACGCTGAACGGGAGGATCTCCGGTCTCTCTGCGTCCTCCTCCACACCGATGCTCGTCTGCATGTCTCCGTTATCTCCTGAAAGCACACGGGAGTGATCTGCAGAGGCGTGAGAGGTCATGCAGGAGTTTCGGATGCTCAGAACATGCTGAAGTACTGTATGCTAATCACACGGGCGTCATCCAATCAGAACAGAGCGGGGCGGGGCTTAAGTTTCTCCTGAGGTTCGACTGTCGTGCGGATCTGTGTTGAGTATTGTTGCAAGCACAGAGCAAAATAAAGGACGATACTGTGTTTTGTATGCCTTTTAAGTGTTACCAAATTAAAGATAAATAACTGCATTTTAAATTATTGTTTGACTATTATCCCTCATAGCACACGTACATCACAGAGACTCTCTATTTACATCTGCAAGAGGTTTTTTTTTAGAGTGTTTGCTCATCTGCAATACGGACGTTTCCTATCAGATGTCAAATAGACGTTTAGAAGACGTCTT